TATCTCTGAGTATAAAATACATCTCAATACAATGAGTCAAATGAAACCTCACTAGTGCACTCAGCCTCTACAAAATAAATATAACTCTAAAGTCTGAACAATAAATATAACTATACAGTGGAGCTTCAGCTACTAAGACTGTACGATGACGACTATGCTAGAACTTCGTCATCCCACGGCTCTTCGAAACTCTGATCAGCCTGAAAAAGACAATTTAAATAAAAAGAATAACAACAAGAGCGTCAGAGCGCTACAGTAAGATTACCTCCATCCGCCCCGAGGGAAGGGCTGCTAGATAAAGTGGAAGCTCTATCTATTAAGCATAGTCTACCTATATCATTTTTCCGTATCTAATAGAGTTAATATTTAGACACCTATAAGATGAGACATAGTACGTCGAGCGAAATAATTCAAATAAGAAAACCCTCATATATATACCATATGTCTCAAACTATAAATCCCTAAATACCAATTCCAACTCTATGAATAAAAACAGTACTCAAAAGAAATACTCCAAGCCTCAACCATATAGAACCAATATCACAATCTTGAACTACTTCTCAAGTAGTTGGTGTAATTATAAGAGAATATCATTCAATACAAAAATCACCATAGGCCATATCATGTATGCCACAAGCCAAAGAATGTACCCTACTCATGGGTAATCTAACATAGGAGTAACTACAACTAATAATATATATATGTTTTCATCTCCTTGTGCTATAGCGATACTCTTGTAATATTCTTACTCAATCGCTCTGCGGTAATAGATTTTGTCTTCCTATTCCGGATACATGAAATGACGATACTTTTATAATACTCTTATTCAATCATTCTGAGAAAATAGGTTTTATCTTCCTATTCTAATACATGAATAACGATACTATTGTAATACTATTACTCAATCGTTCTGTGGCAAATATGTTTTATCTCCCTATTTTCGAAGGATGCATCTAGATGATCGTACAGCGGAGTATAGACATATCAGCCAAATTCGGAAAAACCCCGATCATCTTCAAGTATTGGTACAGCCGCAGTCATTGCGGGAAACATCCAATACTCCTAGTGTGGTACAGCCATGGTCTCATTGTGGGAAAATATCCATACCGAGCATCCATAACTGATGAACAATACTTTATTATATGTTATTATACTTTCATCAACTCAACGTGTATCAAAAATCTCAACAGTGCATGTTAACACACATAAACTAAGTGCACGTACACATATCTTGGTGTGCGTATCCATAACTGGTGTTCACCATCATCCCAGATGTTAAACAACACTTAAGCATCATAATATATCAATACAAGATCGAGAAACTCTCTCGAAAATCAAAACAAATCCAAACAAACATGTACAGGCTAAAGACTGAGTGGCGGTCGACCGCACATGTACGGCGGTCGAGGCGGTCGACCGCGATGGGTTCCAGGGCCTACCCAGGCCTCTATCCTGCACGCGGTCGACCGCCGCTCACATCGCGGTTGACCGTGCCCGAAAATTTCAGAACGTGCAGGATTCTGCATAGTGTTCAGTTCGTGTTGTAATTTAGGATTCAAACTTGTTCAACCCATACTGAAACATATATAAAATGTTGTAAACATCAAATCATCATCTCTAGGAATCATATCACATATTTAACATGATTATTTGCAACAAGAAACATACTTACCCTTAAACTTGCATAAAACATAAAATAAACTATTGTGTTAATCAAATTAGGGTTACTCAACCTAATTAACCAAATTCTTCAATCTAAAGCATGAACTTTTAACATATTAAACATAAACATGATTATCAAACAACTTAGAAAAGATAAACATTCATTTAATCATATTTTTAACACTTAGGTATCACAAACCTAAGGTTTTCTCATCTTTAATCCACATACAAACTTAATTAAATATCAAATTAGGGCTTAAACATGATTAGAACATGATTAACAAGATAAAAATAAAAATTTAAAGAACCCTAATGATCATGATCATGTTTCTATTATAAACAACAAGAAAAATATATAGATCTAACATTTGTTTCAGATCTAACAATAAAAATCTAATCTTTTTCACATTAGATTAAGATTTAAGCATGTAAACACAAATTAAACTTCTAAGCTAGTTATTTAACTATGGGGATGGGTTTGTATGCAAGTGATCTTGTCTTTTCACGTAACAAACCTCTGAAACGAACAACAAATGATCTCTGGACGCCAAACAACACAATTCCTTGCCTTTCCTTCGACAAACACCCCGAGATCTTTCCCAAAATTCACAATTAGGATTAGGGTTTGTTAATCTCACATGAAAGAGGGTTAAAAGAGTTTTAAAATGAGTATATATATAGGTTAATAACTGGGTTCGGTATAAACAAAACCCAACCCAAAACAAACCTGGCAGAAACAGATTCGCCCAGCGGTCCACTGCGCAGGTTTCTGGGCCGTGCTCAGACTAGGGTTTGGTAAAAAGACTAACTTTCTCATCCGATCTCTAAACGAGGTGATCTAAGATTTGTTGAAAAGATATTGAAGAGACCTACAACTTTGGTCTTTTATACTTTTTTAGATTCTGACTGCATCGATATGTAAAACGTAGAAACTCTCAACTGGTCATTATTCTCAGATTTTCACTCTTTTGGCCTTTGTGCATGTTTTGTGCATTTACACTCATATTTTTACAAATATATATTAAATTGATCTCAAATCAATTCTTATCATACTCAAACATTAAAATATATTATTTTTACCATATAACATATTTATCATTATTTATCACAAAATATTCAAATTTACAGGGTTTTATAGTAACCTTCTCAGGTCCATCTTTGGCGATCATTGGAAACAATGAGATCTTGCTCTGGCACATAATGAATTTGTTTATAATTGTATAGAGAATTGAACTACAGGCTTGTGATTATATATGGAAGGCTTCTGAACCATTATCTTGATCTAGTTCCACAGCCTAAGCTTCCAGGACAAAGTATTCCTACAGATCACATGGCCGAGAAGATACGTGCTATCCAACAGGAAGTGGAGAAGATAGAGAAGACTAATGCTAAATATAAGGTGGATGTTGATCGACACGGGAGGAAGAAGATGTTTGAGGAGGGAGACATGGTGATGGTGTTTCTGCGAAAAGAGCATTTTCTAGTGGGAACCTATAACAAGCTAAAGAATAAAAAGCATGGCCTATGCAAAATACTAAAGAAGATTAGCGACAATGCTTATGTCATTGACCTTCTAACAAATTTAGCTATTTCTCCTAGTTTCAATGTTGCAGATTTGTTTGAGTATTACCCGCCAGAAGGAACAACTCTTCATGCAAATATAAGCTCGGGGTTGAGCTCTTATTAAGCAGGGAAGACTGATGTAGAACACACTACGGATATATTTATGGAGAAGTAGGACTGACACAAGCCCAAACACAAACTCGGTCAAGGAAAATAACTTGCAACGAAGAACGGGTCATATCTCTCAAACCGTAAGTTGGAATTAGACGAATTATATATGTAAATCACATATTTTTCGAGATGGGGTCAATCAAACCAACTGATGTTTGGTTTGTCACCATCTGTTTCGCCAAATTTCCTCCGGATTGAGAGATATTAGTATTTTTATCAGTTTTTTTACTATTTTAGGTAATATTTTAGGAGTCTGTTTTGATTAGGAAGCGAATCCAGTTTGATTCTAAAGTTAACAGATTTACTTCCCTAATCCTAAGGAGTCTTTTAGGAAGAGTTTTGTTATTTTTATTTTTGATAAAATTTGAGTCATAATAGGAGTCTTGTTTATTTTCTATTTAAGCATAGTATTGTAAGCCCTAGAAGCATAACTTTTTATTAATAAAATTTCTCTTTTAATATTTTCTTCGTGGTTTTGAAATTCTTCGTGGATTTGGAGATTGTTCTTTGTGGGTTCAGAGAACACTCATTGGTGGATTCCGAGGTTATCACTTCCGCGCTACATTACTCTTGTCCTTTTAGTCGAGGCCAACAAACTCCATCCCCCTTCCAAGAGGACTTTGAGTTTTAGAAATACTTATCTTCTCTACAACTATCCGTGAGGAGCAAATACAGTTTAGTAAGTGAGGGGGAAGGATTGGGGAGGTTACTATCCTAACCATCCTAAAATTGTGGTCGTTTAGATTCTTTTAATAAGTGAGGGGGAAGTATTGAGAGAGTTAAAAAAATTGTAAATTTCTTCACTTTCTTAGCCTTCCTAAAGTGGACGAATTAGAAGAGGAGGGATATGATTTTAAGTGAATTGCTCATTTTCCTTCCTATTTTCTACTCTAATAAGAAGAAGCGGAATCGTCGGAACAACTCAAGACATCTGTACCTCCATTAATCTCACTGATTCTTGGTCTTCCATTAGAGATCAAATCAGGGGGGAAAAACGAAAAAAAAGAGAAGAAATTACGGGAAATTATGCACAGGAAAGAAAAAATTAATATAGAATAGAGTAAATTACTCATTACCCACTTCTCTATATTTCAATTATACTACATACCCTCGGATCATTTATTACCACTTGGCTCCTCTCAACTCGTGGACGAGAAGGGTGTTGCTTGCAATTTATGGGAATGATCAGACGTATATAGAGTTCAAATTGGAAAGTGTTTTGTAACATATGCTAGTGATGGAATTTTCATATGGACGTGGCTATATAATAATTTTGAAATTAGTTTTCTTTTAGGGATAAAAAATCGCAAAAGAGTTTTAGATTTATTTTAAATCGAATTGTAGACAACAATAGATTTCTTTTGGTATTTTTATATGATTTTTTAAAATTGTCTAGTAGCATTGTTTACAAGGTTTTGTAAACAAGAATTATTTTTGTGAATAATGTGTAGGAAGTTTGATACGTGAAGCTTCAATCAGTAAAAGATGTATCATTTGGCAATCATCATAATTACGAATTTCCTTGAAATTATGATGAAATCAACATTTTAACCCTGTCCTATTCTTAAAATTTTAGCAAATTGATAGATAAAATGACTGTTTGACACTCATCACCTCAATCACAAAACAAGCATAGAAAATTAAAGTCATCCAGAAAGCAAGCAGAGCACAATTACATATCTAAACTGTTTATGAGAGATTGTCCTACAATAATATCTCCTCACAATCATCTATTCAGTTTCTTCACTTTCACTAAACAAGCCATATCTCCTCGCTGTCATCTATTCAGTTTCTTCTTCACTTCACTAAACAAGCCATAGAAACCTAGGCTGATAAGGATGATGCCCCTCTGTTCGCTGCTCGAAAGATATGAACTTTCATTGCTATCCTTTTTCTGTCCTTTAGAAGCTCGAAGACACACGCATCTCCCTCGTCCAAACTATTGTCGCGGACAAAATTCCGCCACCTTCCAATGATACGGGATGAAGTTTCAGTGACACAGTAGTTAACCTTCCACTCTTTCTTCATCCCTGGGATACGGAGAATGATCTCTTGGTTTTCTCGAGGGAGAAACTCCATAGCAAAATCTGGGGGCATTAACTGCATACAGGCATAGATGTCATAAATCAATTGCAATCTCATAAATAGAATCTTCAACGAACTAAAAGTTGGCGTTCAACAAAAATTATCCAAAACTCGGTATGACTTCCTGAAATTTGGTTTCTCGCATACCTCTCTGTACAAGTTATCCCCCATGTGATCTATGCTCACTCTTTCTTTCTCATAGAGTCATAATAAAATTTACACGAATCAGTAATTTCAGGACAAGAAACAAAGGACTTTGCGAGCATCTTTACATGAATCAGTTAATTCGAGACCACTATTGGTCAAAAGAAAGCTAAAATAAGTAGGGTATGATATCAAGTACGCCTGAAACAAAACGATCATAATAACAGGCTATCTAAGTTAGTAAATCACACTGTTAAACTTGATATATAATCCCTACGATTGCAATTGCTTGGAGGATTCTTGTCTGCACATTGAAGTTATGGTTAATTGTGACAGATTCCAGAAAATGAAAGATGTGGCAATGACATCCATGTTTCTCAATTATCCACATTTCGCGAAATTGGACGAAAATGATAGACGCAGAAATGAGACTTGCATTTCAAAATTATCCACATTTCACAAAATTGGATCTTTTCTGTTTTGAGATATATAGAAAATAGGTAACAATGTGAATTCATAATACAGATTAGAGTTGTTTGTGCATTTCTTATTAAATTTTAGCTGTTGGGTATGTTCGAGTGTGCATTCGTTCATTTTTTAGTATGTCAAATAGTAAACTTATAATTTTTGGATGAAGCTTTACTCAACTCTCAATATAAAACCACAAAGGAGATGTTCACATAAGGATTCAAATTAATAAGCACAAGTTATACAGGATTTGCTTGGCTAACGTCGTTTATCTATCAACATTAAGGTCTATGCTCACCTAATATAGTCCAAAAGAAATAGTACTGAAGAAATCAAGTAACAAATAGAAATCCTAGACACCCATCATAATAATTCACTAGAAAGGTCATGCATTTGCTGTAGGACTTACCAATTGGAATTGACTGCCGACATTATAACTTTTCATCACCGTTAAAAACGATGGGCTATTAGTCTCAAATGTATTAGCCTGCTCCACTGCAGCTCTCCTTTCTTCACGAGTTGCAGCCCTCCGTGCTGGATTCCTGTTTTCTGAACAGTTTCCATGCAAACTTGCACCAAACTGTTCCTGTTTTGGAGACGGAATATCTTTCCCTGATTAATATTTAACAGAAGCAACATAAGAAATCTAGATATAAACAACATTTGACTAGATATAAATTATAAACAACAATCAAAGTACTTTGATGTGGGCAAGATTTTAGGTAGGGTTAAAGATGTCACTAATAGTTTTCAAGAGCAGTTGTCAATTTTTATTCATTTTAAAGAAAAAGAAGATCAAAATGCTTACTTTTTTTAGTTTCCCTCCTGGAACAGCTTGGGTCTCCCCTCTGACAATTAGGGCTACTGGTAAAACTACAATCAAAGTCATCATCATCTGCTTCTGCACTTGGTTCTAGAGTTTTCTGAGAGGAGTCCTCTTTATCGACTTGTTCCACACTGTGATCATTCTCGGCAAAATACGTAGACTCCCTCTCACAATTGTTGGAATCGAAGATCAGGACACTAAAACATGAATCTCCTTCATACTTAAAAATGAGGATATCATTGTCCTCTAAGCTATGCGCTTCTGCAAATGCCTTCCAGCCACACTGAAGGAAATGTCTTCCTGCCCTCTTCACCCTTCCTACTTGCCATATTTTACCACTAGGCCCCTTCAAGCTGATGACTTCAGATAAAGTTTCCCTAAATCGACTCATGAACTTTTCGGGTATGATCTACAAGCAGGAAATTGTTAAACATACATCAACAAGAGGAACTTGTATAATTTTCTAGAGGGAAAATAAGGCTTAGCCCATAATACTATAAGGAAAAGAGTAGGATACAGAAAATGTTTACATGAACATATCTTGATAACGAGAGATAAACAACAACAACACATGGTTACATTTACATATTAAGATGTGTGAACCGAAATTCTTCATTTTTGGTTATGCCCTTCTAGCATCGAACTATATGAATTATCAGAAGCTTCTGCCCGTGATAAGGAACAGAAGAGACGACAAGTAACAAAATTTAGCAATTATCTAATCATTAGAGGAGTTCTTGCTTTTATCAAGTTTTTGATGCTTGATGCAGAGTACGTTCTTTCTTTCTTTCAATTTATTTTTTGTTGACATGTATAAAAAATTTGTTACCATGTACTAGAAATTCTTTTAAGAAAACAAACATTTCCATGGAAGTTCCTTAGTTTGCATTTTGATCTAAGAAACAAATCCTCTATCTGTATAAGTTTCTTGCGTAAAACCATTTGGTTCTTTGATTTACGAACAACATAAGCACATAAATGTCATCTTTGCTTGCAGATAAGTTAATCACATGTATGAAGGAAGAAATCTAGCCCATAAAAAGTACTATGCAACATTGACTAAAATACAACTCTTGGGACTCAGTTCATGGCTTCACCCTTGGGTTTACATAGTTCATGTCTTCACTCTTGATACTCAGATCAAGGCTTCACCCTTAAAAAGCACTATGCAACATTGACTCAAATACCACTCTTGGAACTCAGTTCATGGCTTCATCCTTTATTGTGGTCCAATATTACACACATTCAAGATTGAGCTGGACTCCGGGATGGTAGCCTATGAAGGAAGGGATCTATATGTCAAGAACATATTGCTTATCTATTCTTTCTTGAGAAGAAAAATTCTGGAATGTGTTGTATTTGGTTGTCTTTTAATTCTTTTATTTTTCAGAAAAATTGTTGGCAGCTTGATTTTCTTGATTCGTATGTTCCTAATATGGTTCCCTCTGCTAACCTTCCCAGTTCTTGGGAATTTTGTTGCCTCTCATCTTGTCGTCTTAGCCTACTACATTGTGCTCAGTCACACAGTTTGATATTTGATGAAGTTTGATTAATGAAGGTCATGAATCATAGAATCAGTGGCGGATCGAGAAAATTTTTCTTAGAGGGGCAGATGCTAAGTATCGATTTACCTAAATGAAAATAAACCACTAATTTCAAAATTAGTTGAATGTAATGAGCTACTAATTTATAAATACTACACAAATTGCTTAAAAATTCAAGTTCGGGTGCAAATTATTTAGAACTTTTAGTGCAAAATGTAAATGTACAAGACTATAATACATGATTTTCTAATTGTTAGGGTGCAACTGCATCCCTAATCAACTATGTGCATCCTCCCATGCCTACAATAACGGACTAACCGAATTCATCCAGTGATACTTGCGGATGATATCTCCATAGAAAAACATCCAAGAGAAAAAAGAAACTTGAGGAAGGAAAAAATGGAGAAAAGAAACAGTGGGGTCAGTTGGAAAAAACAGATAGAAAACTCCATAAAGTATAAATGTAATTTTTCATAGTTTTTTTCTGCCTATGTTTGTTCATTGTCTCGCTTAAGTTTTCATTTGTTTGCTACCACCTACTTTTTGATGTATTAATGTTCCTTTTAGTATTGTTTATCTTATTTTGTATTTTGATTTCAATTGGTTGTCTACTTTTTGGTTAATATGCTTTTAGCTCTGATTATGTGGTTGTTGCTTGCAGTGATGTCACTGTTGCATGTGTAAAATAAAGCTATCCTCTGAAAAAATGTTCTTGGCTTTTCTTTACACGTGCAAGACAATTGTGCAAGTTTTTAAACTAATAAAGCAACTTTAGGATATTCAGGGTTTAATTTTATATTTCCTTATTTTTCAGCTTTCCTTTTCGAGTTTATTACTGAGTAAGTTTTGTAGTTCTATGACCGATATGCTATGTTGAGTGGGTAGGGTACAGGTGTCGATACCAGTATGGGTACGGGACACGGCAAATTTGTGTGGGGACATGACTATATAAATATTTATATGCACATATTATATATTGGAATGCATAATTTATATGAGACAATGATGAGAATTAAAATTCCTTTATCATTTTTATGTTTCTTCCATTATGTGGATTATAAAATGGAAAATTACTAGTTTTTGAACTAGATATCCAAATGACCCTTCATAATCATAATTTGGAACCTGACATATGCCCAATAAGTCTCAAGATGTGAATGTGCAGTGTAGGATACATGTCTAGAAAAAACATGTTTGTATAATTGAGTACATGCCCAAGTAAATACATGCATCTATGTAAGAAGTGTCCAAGGAGTTTGGTATGGGTACAGCTTCAGACTAGAAGTACCCAGGTAACATAGTTGATATGCTTTTAAGTCAACAATAAGCATTCTAGGAATAAGTAGCTGTATGTCGTAGCATCATAGTGATTGAAAATATGCATGGACAAGTTCTTTCGTTTTTAAAATCCAATACGAGGGTTTTCCTTCTAGCATATTTATGATTTATGTTTTCTTAACTTGGTTTACTGATTACAAATACTGAGCCCTTTTTTTAATGGATATTCAAACTATGATGCATGGTTTTAATTATATTTAGAATTTTGATAACTTTTAAAAACGTAGTCTAATATAATTATAGTTCTCACTAATTGGTGACTTTCTAGAAGTAGCCTGGGTATTTACATATTGAGTGCCAACTTTTGTTAGTAAGCTTTAAATGTTCTCATATATGCTTTCTACCATGACAATACCTAACCAATTCAGTATTATACCATCATAACAAAACTACCATGCAGACAGTGCATGAACAAAGTAAATATTACAAAAACTTTTCTCAAAAACATGGGATTTATTATATTTCTTCAAATCAACAATGGACAAAGAAGATTAACAACAAATAATGAGTAATTAATACCACCCACAAAACATTAAAATAGGACAAACAAAGTCCAAAATAGTTGCTTCGTTGTCGTCCTACATCTCTGTGTTTACTTAAATTTCATATCACCTCACTAAGAATTTTGTTTCTGTTACAGATACGAAATTTTACATCATGATTCATGAATATAACAACAACAACCAAGCCTTTATCTCAAATGTTTGGGGACAACTACATGAATCATATTTTTTTCATTCTATTTTGTTACGGGTCATTTTCTCTGTTACGTTAGTCTTAATTATATCATTCTTAATTGTTTCTGACCAAGTCATTTTAGGTCGACCACTAGATCTCCTAGCCCCATTAACTTTAATATTATCATTTTTTTAATCGATGTACAAAGGGGTCTTCTTTGTACATGACCAAATCATCTTAATCTATTCTCTCTTATTTTATCCTCAATAGACACATCCTCTAATTTACAACGGATGCACTCATTTCTTATCCTATCTTTTAATGTATACCCACAAGACCATCACAACATTCTCATTTCTGCTACGCTTATTTTTTGACCATGTCGTTTATTAATTGCCTAACATTTTGATCCATAAAACATAGCTGGTCTTATAACCATCCTATAAAATTTTCTCTTTAGTTTCATTGGTATTCTACGATCACATAAGACTCTCAAAGCACTCCTCCATTTCAACCATCCTGATTTGATTCGATGCACAACATCATCCTCTATCTCACCATCATGCCTAATGATAAATCCTAAATAGCGAAAATGATTAGTTTTAGGTATTTTTTGGCTATCAATATGTATCACAGGCTCTCTTTCTTTTCTACTTTTACTAAAAATATATTTCATATATTATGTTTTTGTTCTACTAATTCTAAAACCTTTAGACTCAAGAGTTTGTCTCCATCTTTCTACTTTAGAAATAATGTCTCTTCTAACTTTATCAACTAATACTATATCATCAGTAAATAACATACACCATGGGATTTCATCCTGAATGTGTTTAGTAAGTTGGTCAATAACTAATGCAAAAAGAGAAGGACTTAAAGCTAACAATTGGTGTAAACCTATAGTAATAGGGAATGGTTTAGTCTCTCATTCATTAGTTTTTACTCTAGTTGCTACTCTATCATACACATCTTTAATCACATTAATATATATACTAGATACATGTTTCTTTTCTAACACCCACCATATTACTTCTCTAGGTACTCTATCATAAGTTTTTTCTAGATCGATAAAAATTATATGTTGATCTTTTCTCTTCTCTCTATATCTCTCCATCAACCGTCCCAAAATATGTATAGGTTCCATAGTTGACCTCCCAGGCATAAAACCAACTTGATTTTTAGATATACATATCTCTTTTCTTAGTCTTTGCTCAATTATCCTCTCCCAAAATTTCATAGTTTGACTCATGAGTTTTATATCTCGATAATTTTAACAAATTGTATATCACATTTATTCTTATATATCGGTATCAAAATACTAATCCTCCACTCATCCGATATTCTTTTCGTCTCGATAATCTTATTAAATAGTTTAGTTAACCAGCCTAAGCCTATATCTCTAAGATATTTCCAAACTTCAATAGGGATATCATCTGGTCCTACGACTCGTCCACTGCTCATTTTCTTTAGAGCATCTTTAACATCGCTAATCCTAATTTTATGACAACATCATGATTCATGAATGAAGAACAATATATATATATATATATATA